TGCAGTGTGACCATCTGTGAGGATGGCCAGAGTTCGCGTGATGGTTCATCCTCCTTGACGAGATCAGCAAGGTATTGTGGTTCATTTGTGGCAAGCACTTTGTGTGCAATTCGTGCGATAGTATTACTCCCCTTCCGTGGGGGAGGGTAAGCGGCAGCTGGGTACTGATGGGGGACGCGACGTGAAGGCTTTGATCCATTTGGGCCTCCTCAACACACGACAGTACACAGCTCACATAAACCCTTTTGGTCTACACTGACACACGCATAAAACAAACGCCATTTGCCACGAAGTGGCGGTGACGTCACCACGACGCTTGTGCCAGGCCATGTGCACCTTGAGGCCACGTGAAGTGTGGAACGCCCGCTGGCAGGAGGTCACGGGGCAGACCCAAGTGCCACGGGTCGACTGACTGAGATGACCGAGACCACTGGCTGATGCACCACCTGTGCCCCCTACTGTGCCAACTTGCTGTGCTTTAGCCACCCGGCGCTCCGCTCGTTGTTGTGAGCGTCGCTCCTCCGCCCTCTGTTGTTGTTGGAGGGCGACTGCCTCCAACTGCCCAGTAGCAGCGTCCTTCACGAGCCTCCTCCACAGAGGCCGATCTTGACACCGCTGGTACCAGTCATCGGCAAGTCCACTCAGCTCCACGTCCTCCTGTACCACATCACTCCATCTCTTCTCTAGCCCGTGTCGCGCCCGTTTATCCCCCTCTATCCGGCCGAACAAAAGTTGTTTAGGCATACGGTGACTGGGCATGCAGGCTACATGACCCAGCACACGCATACACCACACATACCCACACGCACTCATCTGTGACATATGTACGGCACTGTAGAGTACATGTGTATGTGTAACACACTCAGAATATGTATTTCTATCGGGGGAATCCGATGCGCTATGAAGCTCTTTTTCACAGATGTCCGCTATGTATTGCGTGTATTTTTTTAAAACATAGGTTTCCATTGACATCGTACCTAGCCTAGGCTGTTCAGTTTGCCGGACTAGGATCTACCACAGAGGTCGCAACCGGGTACCCGATACCCGTACCCTACCCGATACCCGGATTTCCCATACCCGGCCGGGTACGAGTACCCGTTTGCGACCCTGGTGCGGCCGGGTACGGGTACGGGTAGACCGTGAGTCACTGGTGAGTAACTTTTGGCCCAGCCCCCCCCTCCCTCCCGATACGTTCCATTCATTGGCTACCACATTCTGATGAGCTCCCCCCCCCCTCTCCTCCCCCCTCAACTCGCTTTTAAGGGATTACATCTTGAATCATTGCCTCACTTGATGCAGCTAATCTGGCTGTGACGGTCCCACCTGATGACGGAGACTTGTGTTGCCTCCGAAACGTCGTGATCTTTATTTTATTTTATTTTTTATTAATTTTGATGTTTTACCTACGTGACTTTACCGAAAAAAAACCTAAGAATATGAATCATTGCAGTCACGAAAGCTTCAAATCTAGGAGTAACTGTTTGTAACTCATTTCCCAAAGTCTTGCCTCTTCTCACAATTCAAGTTCCTAGAATCAACCCACCCGCGCCTGCAACATGGCTTCATCCCAGAAGTCGCAATAAGATACCCGTACCCTACCCGTACCCGGCCGGGTACAGGTACGGGTACCCGGCCGGGTACGGGTACCCGTTTGCGACCCTGGTGCGGCCGGGTACGGGTACGGATAAGGAATCAAAACCCGTTTGCGACCTCTGATCTACCACCACATCTCACCTGCCAGATGACACGTTCATAGATTGAAATTGGGGCAGGCGGGCGAACCACGTGATAACAAATGCTTTAACCTATTGGGCCAGCATCACCACAATGTGTTCGTGGGTTACCGTAATCGTTGACATTACGTGAGGGCATACGTTGTAACAAGAGGAAGTTGAGACATCACTTGTTGGCGGTGTCTGAGCACGCGGTGTTTTGCTTAATTCCCGTGTAATGACGGCGTGGATTGAGGGCTCAATATGAATTCTGATGACGTGGGTTGAGGTTTTAATGAGTGAGGCAATTGCCATCTGGGTCAGCGGCTCCGTAGGGTGGAAAGTTTTAGACGACACCACCATCATCATCATGGTCAATTTAGATCTGGAGACAAAAATATCCCGTAGAGGCGTCTTAACACAATGTAGGGGGACACGCGCTTTTAGAGGGCACAAATTCAGACCGGCACATCACACGATGAGGTAGGCGGTCAGTCCCATGCCCGGCTGCCTGTCTGACCAATGTTGTTACACACATGCACAGGGTCATTCTTGACTTAAAGCTTTCGTGACTGCAGGAATTCGTATTCTTGGGTATTTCGGTAAAATCACATAGATAGGTTGTTATTTTTGTTATTTTCTTTGCACCTATCTACGTGATTTTACCGAAAGACCCAAGCATAGGCACAAGGTACTTCATTTAAAGGCCCAGCCGACCGAGGGGGGAATCGGGACCAGTTCAGATATTCGTCACCGATGTTGGTTGGGAGCGGGAATCGAACTCGGGATGTAGGATCCGTAGCGCAGTGCTCTAGCCATTACAATATCGCTCCCCTTACATGCACACACGCATGGACACATGCACACACCCGTAGTGTACATTGGGTTATCACCTGTGTGGCTTTGACCCAGACGGCCCATGAATTGGCATCTGTGTTCAGGTGGCAGTAATTGATATGCACTGACATTTGGTGGCATTGTGTTCAACTTCATTAGTTTCCTGCATAATTTTGATAGACCTAGGCCACAGGGCTCGGCAACCTGCGGCTCCTTAGCTGCATGCGGCTCTGTAAGGACTGCTTCCTAACGTTCGCTAGTGAGGACCACCGTGTCGTATTCACACGCATTGCGGAGACCGAAACATTGAGGGGTTGTTATTTTTTTTTACACAATTCGTAAGAAAGATCTATTCTTGTTATTTTGGTTTGCCGATCCCTGACCTGGGCCTATGGGGAAATATTCCAGGGTAAAGATCTTAGGGTTTGGTTAATTGGTGCTCAGCAACTGGCGTGCTGCTGTGGCCCCCGTTGTGTCGCGGTATTTTCCGAATTATGAGAAAGGAAATAACCTCACTGTCCTCAAGCTGGGGCAGTCGAACTCTCCTCCTCCATGCCGTTCAGTGGCCGATCCAGCCCCCCCCCCCCACCTACCGCTCTCCCCTCTCTTCCATTGGTCGTGCATGCGCAGTACAGCCCCCACTTTACCGCCCTCTCCTCTCTCCCATTGGTTGCCCACGCGCAGTACACCCCCCCCCCCCCTCCGCCTACCATCCTCCGTTTCTCTGATTGGTCACGCACGCGCAGTACAGCCTCCACCTACCGCCCTCTCCTCTCTCCCATTGGTTGCCCACGCGCAGTACACCCCCCCCTCCCCCGCTGACCATCCTCCGTTTCTCGGATTGGTCACGCATGCGCAGTACAGCCCCCACCTACCACCCTGTCTTCTCTCCCATTGGTTGCCCATGCGCAGTACCCCCCCGCCACCTACCGCCCTCCCCTTCTCCCATTGGTCGCGCACGCGCAGTACACCCCCCCACCTACCGCCCGCCCCTCTCTCCCATTGGTTGCCCATGCGCAGTACACAACCCCCCCCCCGCCTACCATCCTCCGCTTCTCCGATTGGTCGCGCATGCACAGTACAGCCCCCACCTATCGCCCTCGCCTCTCTCCCATTGGTCGCGCACCACAGTACAGCCCCCACCTATCGCCCTCGCCTTTCTCCCATTGGTCGCGCACCGCAGTACAGCCCCCACCTATCGCCCTCGCCTCTCTCCCATTGGTTGCCCATGCACAGTACCCCCCCCCCCCCCGCCGCCTACTGCCCTCCCCTCTCTCCTATTGGTCGCGCATGCACAGTACAGCCCCCACCTATCGCCCTCGCCTCTCTCCTATTGGTTGCCCATGCGCAGTACAGCCCCCCCCCCCCCGCCGCCTACCGCCCTCCCCTCTCTCCTATTGGTCGAGCATGCTCTCAGTGCGGCAGACGACCGTCAGCCACCACCACCGGCCCTATCTCAACTCCCTCGGTCGCGCGTAGGCGCATTTGGGCAAAGCAGTGGCGTTGCCAAGTTCGAGGCAAGCTGCGTGCCACAGAACCCAGGGGGTCAAGAAGCGTCCGCGTGGATGGCGCAAACGCAGACGCGAGGCTGCGCTCGTAAATTTGCCGCTGTAAATTTCCACACGACTAGCCACTTGTATACTCTTTGGTTTTTTCGGTAAAGTCACGTAGGTATAAAAAGAGAAAGAATATAGAACCAAAAAAGACACTTTTGTCGAGCTTAACAGTTGTGGCCAGGTCGCTTTCTGAAAAGTAAGTTTATAGCTCAGTCGGCCTTACCTGGTAAGATTAAAAAAAAAGTTTAGTTGTATTTGTGATTTGTTTACCTCTCATAAACTTTACACCCCTGTCGTGTTTCATATTGTTTGTTGTAACGTTCTACTGGGGCATCTGTAAAAAATCCAGCTTTTTAGCTCATCGTATTCCAGCATAAATTATTGCAATTCTGAGAGGAGGCCCCAGGACCAATTCAGATATTTGTCGCCCGTGTTGGCCGTGAGCGGGAATCGAACTCCTCCAGGCAGGGCCGGATCATGGCAAGGGGCCCTAGGGGCTGCAGCCCAGGGGCCCCTCCAGAGATTAAGGAGGGCCTCCAGAGATTACGTGATTTAATTTGTGAATTTTGACCTCAAACTTTCGGAATTAATATTCTTGGTTCTTTCGGCAAAGTCACGTAGATAGAAAATGTAATAAAATGGGGGAATAATTATCTATTTATTTGTTCATTTTTTAAAAATATTTTTATCTCATTTGTGAATGCTAAATTTGTGAATGCTGAATCAGCATCTCCTTCGCAGCGCAAGCGCCCTAACCGCCGCGCCACCGCTCCCCCTCGACACCTACGCCCCGCCCCCTAAACCTAACCACGCCCCCTCGCACCGAGGCCCCGCCCCTACCCAAGCGGCACCGCGCGCTCGCCGCCGTTGCCAGGGCAACGCGTGTTGCGGCAGCGGCTGCTTGTGGTTGTACTGCTGCTGGTTGGTTGTACTGCTGGTGGTTGTAGCTGCTGCTGCTTGTGGTTGTACTGCTGGTGGTTGTACTGCTGCTGGTTGTACTGCTGCTGCTTGTACTGCTGCTGCTGCATGTGGTTGTAACTGCTGCTGGTTCTGCTGCTGCATGTGGTTTTAGCTGCTGGTGATTGTGGTTGTAGCTGCTGCTTTTTGTGGTTGTACTGCTGCTGGAACTGCTGCTGCTGCATGTGGTTGTAGCTGCTGCTGCATGTGGTTGTAACTGCTGCTGCATGTGGTTGTAACTGCTGCTGGCTGTACTGCTGGTGGTGCTGCTGGTGTATGCCGGGACTGCCTACCCACAAAGCGCCTCCGATCGGCACGGCCGCCTCACGTGACGGTGGCTCAAGAAGTTGACCCCCCACGCGTACGGAAGCCGCCACCACCGCCACCACCACCACCGCCATCACCATCACCCACCACCACCACCGCCGCCACCCCAGTGTTGTTGGGGGGGGCTGCCGCTGCTAGATGTCGTCTCCACACGCCTTGTCCGCGCTGCTCGCCGGCGCCCGCACAAGGCCCCGAGTCGTCCCGGCAGCAGCAGCGGCAGCAGCAGCGGACGTGGAGGTAACGCTGATGGTCGTGATGATCGCTTGCTCATAGCGACGACGGCGATCATTGATGATGCTGCTGCTGCATAGCCGTCAAGCCATACGGGTTAGCACGTGTTCGTGTACAGCCGCGGGGGGTGGTGGGGGGGTTGAGTGTTCGGGTCAATGCGGCGTGCAGACGTTTCACTGCGGGTAAACAACAACAACTGTCTTATTGATTTTTTCGGTAAAGTCACGTAGGTAAAAAAAATACATTTATAAAAGTAAAATATAAATTAAAAATCACGACGTTTCGGAGGCAACACAAGCTTCCGTCTTCAGGTGGAACCGTCACAGCACGACAGCTGTATCAAAGCTATCGTGCTGTGACGAGGGGGGAGAGGGGGGTCAAAAATCGTCCAAAATCGCGTGACGTCATTTATGGACGGTCCCTAACCCGCTTTGACCATTGTGGTGAAGTATGGGCATGTGACCCCACGACCCACAAGGCGTAGGAAAAGGCCCTCAGGCATCGGACCTTCAGTTGTAAATGTTGCATTGGCATATACGACAGTATCGTTAGCATCAGCATCAGAAGCCTTATCAGCAGTTGCAGCATAAGTACCATCAGTACCTTCAGCATTGGAAAAATCATCATCGGTGTTGTCAGTATCGTGAACAGCATTGGAAGCATTGGAAGCATGAGAAACACTATCAGCAGCAGCATCAGCTGCAGAAGTATCAGAAGTGTCAGCAGCAGAAGTTTCATCATCAACGGTTGCACCATTAATACAATAATCATCAGTAACAGCAGAAGCAGCAGATTTTAAAATGATCAGAATCATCACTGTGTCATCATCAAAAGCAGCAGCAGCATTATCAGCCGCAGAAGCGTAATTTGCCAGCGTTATCACCATCTGTAGTCGCAGTATCACCAGCACACAAAAAAACATCATCAGGAGCAACGTCTTATAAACATTTATCTTGCTATCAACTGATTTACAGTTATCACTGCTGCATCTCCTAACACTGACGTTTATAACAGTCACAATATTGCCATTGATGGCCCCTTATGACAGTAACCTTCCTCGCAACAACATCATCATCAGCAGAAATAGCCGCAATATTGGTCATTGGTATCAGCATTATAAGTAAGGGCAGCATAACCATCACATACATCAGCATCATCACCACTAGAAGCAGCATCATAAGTTGCCAAGCCATTGGCACCATCATCGCCATCAGCCACACATCATCATCAGCTGAGTCAAACTTGTTAAACAGCTGCTGTTGGTTAGCCAGATGTTAGCCAGTCAGAGCACTTGTTCAACACAACGAAACAATGCTGGATTAAAATGCACGTGCTGTTACTGAATCATATGTAAATACAACCACATACAAATATCACGGAAACATAAAGCATTTAGTTTGCCGGTCTTCAAGGCATCCTGTATATCAATTGGTCCTGCGTCTGCTTGTCTCAACACATATTCACGATGAACACACGTCTAGAAGATCAATAGACTAAAACATTTTTGTATGTGCCGACAGAGAATGGAGGTTTATTCATACTGGTAGGAACCTCCTGGTTACACCAGCCCACAGGGGATTATTGTGTCCGTCCATCGTGCATCCAAAAATGGGAGGGGTGGGGCTGGGTGGGGAGGGGCTGGGTGGGGAGGGGAGGGGCTGGGTGGGGAAGGTGGGGCTGGGTGGGGGGTGGGAGGGGTGAGGCTGGGTGGGAGGGGCTGGTCACCCCGTGGTGCCCTTATAAAACTCAACGTTTAACCTACTCACGCCGGCTTGAGCCCGCCCTCACAGTCGGGCATATTTGCGGAATACACCACGCCACCGTTGACCCTGGCCATTGACCGAGCAACCCAACGTTCCTACCAGCTCCCTCCGCAGGAATGTGTTTTATTTCATGACCACAGAGTTGCACAGCGATGCAGAATGAGGCATTAGTGAGAGTTGAGCTCAGAGATACCCGAAGTTTATTTGAGACAATGCACCAAACTCAAGGATGTTCAGACATCACTGACAACATCTGCTCCAGCCTAAAATTGTAAAACGATTTCTGAACCTCATGGTCGTCCTTGGATGTTACGCGGCATTTTGTGTAGGTAGGCCTTGTCAAGAATGTAAGCAATTCTAGATTTGAAGCTTTCGTGACTGCAAGAATTCATACTCTTAGGTTTTTCGGTAAAGTCAAAAGTGAATAATAAAAATATAATTGAAATAATAGAAATAAAATAATAAATCACGACGTTTCGGAGGCAACACAAGTCTCCGTCTTCAGGTGGGACAGTCACAGCTAGATTTACTGTCTCAAGTGAGGCAGAATTCCAAGAGTCAAGCTCTTAAATACAAGTTTAAGGGGGGAGGGAAGGGGGAGGGGCTTATCTTAATGTGGAAGCCAATGAGTGGAACGTGTTAGGGGGGGCGGGGCTAAAAGAGAACAGTTGGTGCATCTTGTTGATTCTAGACTTGAAGCTTTCGTGACTGCAAGGAATCATATTCCTAGGTGTTTTCGGTAAAGTCACGTAGGTAAAACATCAAAATTAATAAAATAAAATAAAGATCACGACGTTTCGGAGGCAACACAAGTCTCCGTCATCAGGTGGGACAGTCACAGCCAGATCAGCTGCATATTATTTTTATTAATTTTGATGTTTTACCTACGTGACTTTACCGAAAACACCTAAAATAGCATCTTGTTGATGTTTTACACGATGTTGGTTGGCAATCCAAATACAACAAAGGAGAGGAGAGTGCTGTTCAACGCTGGGGATGGCAACACTCGGTAAAGTAGAATAGTACCTGTCAAATAAGATGGTCCAAATAAGATAGTTTCAATTATATTTGTATTATTATTTTTTACCTACGTGACTTTACCGAAAAACCTAAGAGTAAGAATGTAAGCACTTTCATGCAATTAGAGTGTTTTTTTTGCCTGCTCCGCATGCAATGCAGCCACTTGAATCTCTTATCTCGCAATCTGGCAGAGCCCATGGAATTTTCCACATTCTGTTTGGCAAGTGAGACGTGGTCACGTGGCTGATGGAAATTGTGAAACTTGGGAATTTTGACGATGACGCCAGTCTGCAGTGACATAATCGAGACATTTTAATTAACATGACAATGACGACTTCAACATCCATTTTACAACAGAATGTACTTATGACTCTTCCTGGCAGAAATGTACTGAAGCTTTAACGCTGACCACTAGACCAGCCTGTATCTTCGTGTCCATGTTGAAGCAGTACTCATTTTATTGACCCTAGAGGTATGATGAGTCAACCCCCAACCAGCATTTGAACTTGTAACCTTCCTTCCGATCGCCTGCTGCTCGCACTACTGCTTTCAATTAAATGCTGCGATTTAAACGATTTCAACGTCACACTTGGCAATTTTACTGGGAGTGCGGTTATTTGCAGTTGAGGTGTGGTCTGGCTTACATTACGTCACGTCGCAACAAGCAGCAATTGTATCTGTTTCCATAGCAGCAGAATTGTTGTATTGCTAAGTTTGGAGTTAAATCACAGTGTGCAATTAATGCAGAGCTACAGCTGACATCGGTTTGAACCATTGCATTAAATTATGTTTTCTAGACACTCCACCGTTGGCACTGTGGGCTAATAACTTCCATTAGTTTTGTTTCCGTACTTTATTATGTATATTATTACGTACTGAAAGATAATGCTGCCGCTATGTATGGTTAATACACAGGACTTGCAATCCAGAGTTCGCTGGTTCAATCTTCTGGCATGGCAGTTGAAGCAATGTGTGGTGGGGTAAAGCGTGGGCACCCCCACCTCTTCAAAGATTCCTGATAATTGTAAAAGATGCCAACACAACCCACTAGTGGGATTCTCTGGAGCTTCCTGCATTGCAGGCCTTTGTACCAGCAGTGGCATAAGCAGGATTTTGCAGGGCTGCACCTTTATCTTTGACCCTTTTCACATTTATGGGAATCCAGTTTAATTCGATTCCACTTGCATACATGGCCTTATGTGTGAACACACGTTGAGAAGCACATCTGTCTTTGCTCCAAGCCCTCATACTTGTCATCACATATGTTCTTTCCACTAATGCCTCTAATGCCTTCCCAGCACAGCTACACCACTGCGGGATTACCAGCCCTAATCAGATTGCTATTTGCCAATACTGTACATTCCGCTCATGTTAAACTGAAGATACAGTGACTGTGATCAAGCGTCATAAAGAAAATTGTGTTAAAGCTCTAAACCAATTGTAAAACTGTAAAGGCGGTGCCTTTTATTTAAACAAGCCAAAGCAGGACTAGACACATTTACTCTTGCAGGAAAGAACTTAGGAAAGTTACAGTCCTGTGTCCTGCTCTGGATGGCCTCTTAATTGCAGTGAATGTAGACTTTTTTAAAATACAAATATAAACTAAACTATTTTTATTTGACCAGGTAAAGCCCACTGAGCTATTTAGCTCCCTTTCAGAAGCGACTTGGCCATAAATGATAGCTCAACGAGTGGCTTAACACCAGGGAATTTATAGCAGCCATTAAGGTGCGACTCTGCAATGACTTGTTCATATCACTGCTGGCGTGAGGGCCTTCACTCGAGGAAGCCCTAGACTGCACCTCTAAGGGGTATTTGTGTCCTCTTCCACGTTGGCTTGTCATACTGGAAGAGGTTGGAGCAGCCACCGCACGTGGCCTGCCGATCAACTTGCTGCGGTGAACCCGTTTATGATGCTGGGTGAACAGAGGCAGACGGAGGAATTTACGAAACTTGCACCGTTGTTTAAACTGTCACACAGGGAGATCGAATCGGCGACCTCCGTATTGTAAGTCCAGTGTTCTCATCATTACATCACAGCACACATCCCGGACCTAATGTATGTTTATTTACGTGTATATTACCTATTTATCCTCTCCTATTCTCTCCTTCCAAAGCAGACGTAGCATTGATATTCCCTGAGAAACCCAGCCAAGTTCATTAAATAATTATTAGCATCTTTGGGGAGAATGTTCCAATATAAATAAGCGAAAAACATGCCAGAGTTTACTTGTGTTGAACCATTGCTGCTGAAATGATGAACTCCCAGAAGGCCGTGGTGCTGATGGGATGTGTTAAAATCACTTGAACATTTTTTACACGAATAGCCAAGTATGTGAAGGAGGCATCGTGTATGTGAAGGAGGCAACTAAACGAAGGAAACAGCGGTGTCCGAAGTCCTTAATGAGTCTGTCAAGTTTGACTTTACCAAAAAAACCTAAGAATATGAATCCTTGCAGTCACGAAAGCTTCAAATCTAGAGTCTGTGCGTATTTGCTCACCTGTCCATACTGGACATCTGTGTGTAAAAGAGCTTCATAGCTCACCGTATCCCTCCTCCTGCCGTCTAAGTAAAGATTCTCACGTGTGCACACAGCGGGAGAGCGGCTCCGACAGCGGGTTAGAAGATGCCCCGCCACGCCGGCCGGCGTCACTCCCCTCCACGCGGGTCTGCCCCGTCCCTACCACCACGGCCGCCCCTGTGTCTGACCCAGCCCGGCTGCGGGGGTTCGCCGAGCAGGCAGACGAGCGAGTGGGCGAGGGGACGGGCGGAGAGCAGCTGGAAGTCCTGTACCGGGAAGCCGTCAAGAGGGCCCAGGAGCAACGGTCTCCTTCCCCTGAGACCCCCAGGAAGGACGAGGGGAGCTCGCCGGAGCCGTCCGCGAAGGCAACGCCGGCGCGGTGGAGCGAGCACACATGGGGCGTCGACAACCGCCGTGATGCCGCGTCCAAGCCACCGTTGCGCAGGTTTGCCGTTTTAGACGGAGAAAAAAAAATATCCGTTCAATATGAGCTATTAAAACTGTTAAAACATTTTTAACATTTTACCAGCTAAGGCTCCATTGAGCTATATAGCTGTTTTTCAAAAGCGACGTGGCCAAGAATGATAGCTCACCAAAGTGGCTTATCATGGGGAAATGTATAACCGCCAAATGCTCGAAACGCACGTTTCGAGCTGCAGGGTGGGTGTCCCGTTCACCTCTGAATCTCGGAACGCGCAAGCGGTTCAACGTAAATTTTATTTAGAGAGGCATAGCTGCGTTGTTTTTAAAGACATTGTACTCACCACAGAGAACTTTAGCGTCACGACCGCACTCTATGATACCTGGAGGCAAACTGTGCTTCAACACCCTCCCGCATGGCTTTGTGGCAGCCTCGGTACCGATGAAGTTATTTTACTTAAATTTTCGTTACAGTTTCAGAATGAAATCGGAAGAAAAACTTTACGTCATCGGAACAGGAAAGGGTTAATACATTGCGAGTGTTAAGAACCCTTTCAGGGCGTTACACGTTAACACTGTCCCTGCTGCCGTTTGTCTCCGCACAGCTCAGCGGGAAGGTTTCACACTGGGACCAGCAGCAGCGGCATGCGCGTCAGCTCCCACTCTAAGCCCTGGCGCTCGCTGCTCGATCTCGGGTCGTGGGACGACTCGGGGGTGGACACCCCGCCGGCCGTGAGGCGAGTGCTTCAGCTGTGGCAAGGCTTCCGTCTGGATGACTACGCGGCGTTTCACAGGCGCCCGGAGCCAAGGCCTAAGCCTCGGAGCGCCTCGTGCGCTCGCTCGCCCAAAGTCACCATCCCCAAGCCCTTCTCGGTGGGTTTGCGTGCGGCTTCACCGGCTGGTGATATGCGAGCCAGCTGCCACACGTGACCCCCAATACGTATTGCAATGCAGTGATGTCATGCGCCGCGTACTACCTGCTCTTGACGTACGCTTTGGAAATGTGGTCATTTAAGAAAAATATGTAGAAAAATTTTAAAGATTGCATAACAATTTCCATCAGCATGCTTTTCAGTTTTTTCTTCGATTTTATTTTTGTTAACGATCATAATTCTTTTAACCATGTGTCTCGTAGCAGGAAGTACAAACTGGTAAAAATAAATAAACCTTTCTTGTTGAGGCACATTGAAAAGTGTGAAAATTGACATGGAAAGATGCATACTTGGAATTATTTTGAGAGACAGGAAGAGGAACGCACAGATTAGAGAACAAAACTGCATTGTTTTACTGTCACCCTCGCCCCCTCTCTTCCTTCATAAAAAAAAACCTTTAAAAACACCCCCTCACACCCACTCCACACCCAACTCCTATTCCGTAAGTAATAAAGATAGCAATCCCGCTCCACCAGGGGAAAATAATAGACACGAATTTCAAAAGGAGTGAGCCAGATTGTGTGTTTTGTGCACGTTGTTTTTACAAACGCTTCCCCTTCCGCCAAGTAACTTATTTTGATTCTGCGAATTGCCAAGAAACCACGGCCAGGATTACCAAGAAACCACCAGCAGGAGTTTGTTGAGAATCGTGTGGGAAGCGAGGCCACGGGGGGGGGGGTCCCTTTGTTTTTCTTCGTGTGATTGTTGGCCATTTCATCAGCAGCCAGCGTGTGGGACGACTGCTTCTAGCCCGCCCACTCCCCCCCCTGAACTTGCCTAGCCAATTAAAGATCCCTTGCCCGCCTGCTAGAAGGCAGCGGCTTACACGTGAATGGGAAGGAGACAGGATTCATTACTCTCGTGTCTGTTGCCATCTCATCTTTAGCCCTTGTTTATTTTTTTCGTCTCACGCATAATTTGTATCTATTCATGTCTCGGGCGAGTCGAGTCGTAGGTGGCCGGGCCACTCCAAGAGCCTTTTGGCCCGAGGGCCGTGCAGAAGATGGGAGCATTTCTGATTGCGATTTGTTCTAATAATAATGATGTTGAGCTTTACGTAGCGTCGTTCACGCAAATTGCATCTCATGATGCTGTAGGATTTGTCTCGCGCGCGCAGTTTTCGCACGGAGGCGTGGCAAACCACAGCCAAGCAGGAAGTCAGCCAGCCAACTATTGCCCAAGTTCTGTGGTCCTACATTGGGATGCTTGACCAACTCATCAATGAATGTGTATACACGCGGGAGGAAATGGTAGGACCCGGAGAAAAGCCATGCAAGCGTAGGGAGGATAACACTTAATCCCCACGCAGATTTATTGAAGTTTATTGTTATTTTTATGTTTAAGACGTTATGGAATTCAGTTAAACTTGCTGTACTGCTATACCCTGGCAAGCCAGGAGACGGTGACCTCGACACCAATGGGTAGGCAGGGGGTTTCACGAAGTCAGAATCAGGATATTTATTTATACTGGAGAAATCCGATGAGCTATGAAGCTCTTTTTCATAGATATCCAGTGAGTGATCCATCAACCTTTTTACCTGCAGAGTTGCGGACGACCGTCGTGCATAGCTCCCCCCCCCCCCCCCCCCCCCAGCGCCAGCTTGTCAGCTTGTCAAACCGCGATCCCCGCCGCCCGCCACCTCCGAGCGTGCAGCTGGTGCAGCGCGAGGTGGAGCGGGAGGCGGCGCGGGGGACGCGGCGCCGCCGCCTGGCGGAGGAGCTGGCGCAGCTGGCGCTGGAGCGGAGGCAGCGCGAGGAGGCGGAGTGCGCCGTGAGGGTGCGCGCGGCCCCCGTGCCGGCGCGCAGCCTGCTGCCCCTCTACCACGAGCTGCGCGAGCGGGCGCAGCGGCGCAGCCTCGACAACCGCTCTGCGCGCAAAGTAAGGCGCCGTTGTGCTGACGCTCGTTCTGGCCTTCTTCGTCGGCCATGCAGCGCCGTTGTGTGTGTGTGTGTCCACGCCGATCCAGGCGTCAGGGTGCTCCTTCAGATGGGTGAGCACCTGCACCATCCTTTGCTGCAAGGTGAGGAGGAGAAGAGTTACACTGAGTCCCAGGACTCTTTATCAGGAGGGTCCTGCATTGGGATGTTTGGTCAATACTTTTAACGAGCGTTTGTGTGAATGTATGCGGTCTGGCCAGCTGGGTGTTGAGTCAGTCTTTGCTGGGAACACCCTCGCTGCTACCGTAGGCGCACACCCCCAGGTGCTTTCCATCTTGCACCTGGTGAGTCGGTACTGCCAGCAGCTGCCAACGCCGAACCCCGGGCGGCAGTTAACTAACCCGGCAAACTCAATATCTGAGTTGGATCTGTGGAACCCTTGGTGGAGGAAATGCCATCAGAAGGTCTCCTAAGACCATCCACTGATCCAGCATCATCTGCAGCGGTCTAGACACAGTTTTACCACTGGATACAGATGAGTTTGGACGAGAGAGTGAGGTCAAGGCTGCGCAACTCTCCCTCACTTAAATCCAAAGTGCAATCAGGTCGAACAAAGATGGATGTTGAACGTTTTTTTGCGCCGTTCGGAGCAATTGTGCTAATGTTGCAGCACCACGCTTGTTTGCCGGTTACACTCGACGCTGAAGACCGGTGCATGTATTGTTGTGGTGCTGGCGGTGACCAACAGGAAGAACTGCGGGCATCGCTGAAGCCGTTTGAGTTTGCGGAGAGGGAGGAGAACAAGAGAGAGGAGGAGAGAGTGCGTCCACGGCACAACTTGGAAAAGGAGGTTCCATCTAAGGTGACGCAGCTAACCGAACACTTCCAGGATGTACCTCACAAGCACTAATAATTAAAAAACGAAAACACGTTCGGAGTCGGGATATATTCAAGTCTGCTTTGAAACCCCATCTCTTTAAAGGGGCCTTCCCTCATCAGTTTGGTCGGTTGCCTCCTGGTTCTGCTTTTGGTTTCCTGCTCTTCATGCATTGCGCATTGGTATCTTAGGATGGAATGCGCATTATAAATTTGAATTTTTATTAATAGTCATCAACACTGCCTAAAAAGGCAACCTTTTGGCCCTTCGTAGCACATGGATGAGAATATAGGCTAAGTTTTTTGTTATTCTATTGCTGAAAGAAATGACATTTAATTTACTGGCTTCCACACGAACCACAGATTTCTCCAAATCAGAATCAGCATTTATACTGGAGGAATCCGATGAGCTATAAAGCTCTTTTTCACAGATGTCCAGTAGGGGCAGGTCAGAACGTTACCACAACAAACTACAAAAACACGATAGGAGTGCAGAGTATAGGAAAGGTAAACAAATCTGTTTAAACAATATATACAAATAAAGCTAATCTCTTTCTGTCTTAGAAGCGACCTGACCACAAACGATTGCTCAACGAAGCAGCCCATCATGTGGAAATGTATAGCAGCAAATATAATCTAAACAATAGCGACACATGTTGAGAAAATGTGGAGGGAAAAACCGGAGGAACCGGAGAAAAAAAATCTATGCGACCACGGGGAGAGAGAGAGTGAGAGACACGCAAACTCCAAATATACAACAATCATCAGGGCTGCCAGCAGAGCAAACTTGAGAATGGAGTCACTAGCTTGGGCTTAGGCGAATGTGGTAAAATTGTCAATTGAACTTGTTGTGGATATTTAATACTGCGCCGCGATCCAGTGGCCGGTAGTGTTTAGCTGTGCCACCGGTGACACAAATGGAAGGCAAAATAAAACCCATAACAAGGCTTACTTGCTCATTATAAACTGCTTAACACCCACCTCTGCCTAATCGTGTTTGAACAACACGCGAAAGGTGCGGCTGTTTCTTTTTCAAATGGAAAATTACAGGGGCCCACGTGCGTGAATGTGGCGCAATGCGATCTGTCGGTCACGTAACCGACCACTTCCCATTATGCGCTTACACAGGCGGTACGGATTCCACACATCGACGGCAACTCCTGATGCCACCGAATGGATTACCAGACTCAACACACGCAATCAGTTGCTCTTCAAATGCCATACGAAAGTCAGAGAGACCCCCCTCTCCTCCCCCCATCTTCCCCCACTCTCCATCCACACCCTCCCCACTTCCATCCGTGTCCACCAATATAATATATTTACCCAATATTACATATTTCGCCAATACTGCTGCTATCAATGAAACCTAAAGTGTCGCAAATGTCACTGCTTGTGTGCCTGTGTAACGTGTGCTTGTGTACATGTGGGGAGCGGCAGCGCAGGGGTTGGTGCACTGCCCTACGAATCCGGCGACACGATTTCGATTACCGCTCATGGCCATCATCAGTGACGAATATCTAAACCGGTCCTGGGCCTCCCCTAGGTCGACTCAGCCTCAAAATGAGTAGCCGGTGCGGCATGTAAAATATCAGCACTGGCGGACCAAGGCGACCGGAAGTGGTGCTGGCCACCGACTACTTTGCGTGCAATGCCGACTTTCATAGGTGCTTCTCGCTCACAGCTTTTGCCCCAAAAGTCTGTTATAGGCTATACGGGGGGGGGGATCTTTGTCTTTGTGTACGCTGTGTGTGTAGGCAGCATCAGTGCAGCGATTAGCGCTACCGACACGGCCATTGAGTTAATTTCCCGCTCGCAGACGACATCGGTGAATAGCTGAACCAGGTCCCGTGCCTCCCCCTGGGTCAACTGACCCTCAGACCACCCACCCCATCGCGTGCCGTGCCGACCTTCACAGGCGCTCCTCGCTAACGGCGCTTGCACCAACAGTCTGTTAAACGCTCCACCGGGGATCTTTGTGTACGTGTGTAGTCCCGGCGCGCGGGCTCGGCAGAGCGACCGGCCCTGCGAGCCGTGCTAGACCCCAGCGTGAGCGAGCGGCTGGCGGCTGAAGAGCTTCTGCGGCGAGTGCGGGCCGGCATGCGTGCCCAGGAGCTCCTGGAGAAAGCGGCCATTCCACCCGGACTCCACGCCCACATCGCAGAGCAGGCCCGGGGTGAGCAGTGATTGAGTGGCACAGGCTTGGGGTGAGCAGTGGAATGGTGGGCAGGCTTGGGGTGATTACGGTGAGCAGACTTGAGTAATTAGAATGAAGGCAACACGTGTTTGTTTTACACTAGCTTGTCCTCGAGTGGGATCGATTGGCCGACTGGTTTATATCACTGTCGGAGATTTTTGTTATAAGGCACCCTGGGATGCTCTGCACTAAAGAGTGCTACGTACAAGCGTAACACGGATTGTACAGGACGCCGCTTGCATTCTAACGCGCGAAGTTGCACCCTCCGCTGCGTGCGACAGGCAGGTCACGCACGGCACCCATGGCAACCCGCTGCTCGGAGCCGTCGTTTCGCCCGCGCGTGCACCACAGCGTGCCCGACTTCCAGCGCCTGCTGCGCGACTTCCAGCGCAGCTCGCTGTCCCGCTCGGCCCCGCCGCCGCCCGCCGCCTGTGCTCCCTTCGCGCTGCGCACGACGGAACGCGGGGAGAAGAGGGCCGCCGCAGCCACGGCCTCCGCCGGGAGGGACGAGCGGCCAAGGGCCTTCCGCTCGAGCCCATGCCCCGCGGCGGCCGACTGGATCCCAACTCGCAGCAACGACGCGGCGAGGCGGCGGCACGAATCCATACGGTGAGGTCGCGCCAAGGTTGGAACGTGTCGAGCAAGAGGAATTGCTGCTGCGTAGGTTTTAACGGTTGTGATGTACCGCATTCTTCCCATTATTTACCTCGCTGATCGCGTCAAGGAGCATCAACCATCGTCACGCCAACTCCGGCAATCGCAGCAGCAGCAGCGGCAGCTTTTGGCTAAACCATCGAATAAAGACGGTGGTTACCACACCGCGCGCATTCAGATGCGCTTCCGTGGCCATCTGGAATGCTTTTCCTTCCAATATTAGGAGGCCGCTGGAGCTATGGACCTTTAAATTATCTAGATTGAACTACTTTTTGTGTTTTGTTGTCCTTTCCCCGTACCTCCAATTAGCACAGTTGGCTACGTGCGGTGCAAAAGAAGTTCAACATACATACATAAATTGTAGGTTTTTGCCTCCACATTTAGAAACATGCATTTGGAGTATTTGGCTGCTAGAAATTTCCACACAATAAGCCACTTCGTTGCGCTATCATTTGTGGCCAGGTCGCTTCTGAAAAAGAGCCAAAGTTTTCAATAGTTTCTAAGACGCTCCGGAAATTAAGACTTTGCCCCAAACTTGTACGCTAGTTATTATGTTTTATTTTTATTATTTTATTATCTCCCTTCTACGTGACTTTACCGAAAGAACCAAGAAGATGAATCCCTGCAGTCACGAAAGCTTTAAATCGAAATTTGTACGCAAGTGTCAATAAAGTTATATAAATCTGGATATACATATACACACACCGACTGGATTATAAGACACCAAAACCTGTGGTCTAAAATACAGGATAAAGTACATCTTGTATTCTGGAGAACACGTGGCAGCTCTGCAATGCTTTCTGTATGTACAGCATGCGGTAGAAACCGAGAAACGCATCAGAGAGCTAAGGAGCAACCACCTACACTCATGTACGCTCTTTTAGGCTAGCGAGAGGATGTATTTTGTATTTTTGCCACTCAATCCACTGCCGAATGAGGGCCTCACCCTGCCATGCCGGTCATGGAGATTACTTGACCATGCTTCACCACAATGGTCAAGGGTGGGGCGGTGAAGGCTTTGGAGCACAAACGTGGGAACATAAAAGTGCAGTGCAATTTACTGCACTGCCCTCTGCTGCCCATCAGCAGGCCTTTTCTGTTTGACAACGACATACAGGCAGTCCCCGGGCTACGGAAGGGTTCGGTTCCCGAGAACGACCCGTCATCCGAATTTCCCGTATTTCGGAAACTGAACAATTTCCCCCCAAAATCAACGATAGAATCCCATAGCCGGAAATAGTTGTGCTTCCCCTACCCGATTACTAGGGTCGTTTTCTCTCGGTATTGTATCTTGCTGTCGTCCGTTTTCTATCGTGACCTGTAACGTATCGCTGTACATAGGCTCTGCACTTCCTGTGATTCTTTCATTTGATCGAATATCTACGCTAACACTACCCATAATGAAACTAGTGGAACATATACTGTATCCAATTGTTTATGAATATCACAAAACATTTTTATATTAATTGTTAACAGAACGCGTTCACTTCCGAATGTTCGTTTACCGTGCATTAGTCTAGGCGTAGACATCTCCAATCGTTGTTGGCTGAGACCATAAGCGGTCGAAGTGTAATTGTGTTACATAAATTACTCACAGTAAATAACTCGTGAAATAAACTTAAAATGAAGAAAACCAGCAATTGAAACGTTGGGAAAAAAATTGTTCTAAGATAGAAAAACAATTACGTAACGCTACAAAAAATTATATTTACCTTAATGCTAGTGAAACTCTGGTTCAGTTAAGGTGACATCCGCAGCCTCACCGCGCTGTACTACTTACGCTTACATAACTAACGCAAACATTTCCGCATATTGACATTTTTTTCACGTGATTGATGGGAGCATTCTCAGAAGGTCATATTTCCATAAGTCGGGTCTTCCGCAACCCGGGGGATGTTTCCGCGTGTGTGATTTTTATTTGTTTATTTTTTTCCCTGGCAGCAGTAGGGCGTTGGAGGGCAGAGAGCGGAAGGAGAGGGATGAGGAGGAGAGGGCGAAGACGAGGAGGGAGAGGGAGAAAGCGATGCGTGCCGACCTCTTGCGACGGGCGCGCGCCAACGACCCTCATCGCAGCCTCGCCGAGAGCCACCCCGGAAAGCTGAGACAGATTAAGTGAGTTCCACGCAGGTCAAGTGAGTTCCACACAGATCAATAGAGTTTCTAATCATCATTATCATCCTCATTCCATCCTGAAACTCAGCGAAAAGGAAATTGGGACAATTCCAACATCCCTCACAAGCACTTAATCACTCACAGAAGAACCTAAACTCAATGGTGCCTATTGAATCGCATCAGAACGTCACACAGCAGATGCACTTATCTCCTACGCTGATGATGAACAATTTAAGATATTCACCAGGCTCTCCTGAAGTTATTCACTGGCCCATTAACATCGACGTGAACATTTAAACATTGCCGATCAACGTCTCGACATCCCACCAGAGAATTAGGTCATGAGACATCGTCATCATCATCATCATCACCAGCAGCAGCAGCAGCAAAAGCAGAGAGCAACATTTTCATACTCTTTGGTTTTTTCGGTAAAGTCACGTTGGTAAAAAATTTAAATAAATTATAGAATTACTCGTCACAGCTACCTCTGAGACACACTTAAGCGGTGTGCTTTCGCTAAGTTGTCCCCACCTGAAGAAGGACGCTTGTGTTGCGCCCGAAACGTCGTGATCTAATTTATTTTAATTTTGTACCTACGTGACTTGACCGAAAAAAACAAAGAGTATGAATCCTTGCAGTCACGAAAACTTCAAGTCTAGAAGCAACATTTTCGTCTCGGCATAAGCTGTCCAACAACAAAACAACGTAGCTCCAGCAGGTAAAGCGCGCGTTGAGTTGAAGAGGGCAAGATACGGTGATAAAAGTGCATCGTGCGTCTCCACCTACCCCTCCCTGTGCATCGCCCCCCCCCCCCTCCCGCAGGGAACAGGACAAGAAACGCACTCACGAGTACAGCACAGAGCTGCAGGCCATGAAGGATCGTGTGGCCAGAAGACCTCTCCTGCTGGAGCAAGTCACCCAGGTCTCGTCATCATCACCTTACACATACATACATGGTTTGTTTCAAGTTGCCGAGAGCATATTGGCAAACCAAAAGTGTATTTTTCAAGAGAGGCCTGGTGCCACAGTAAGATCAGTAAACGTGTAAACAAATGGGCACAGCTTCTTGCATCATAAACCTGCTGATACCAAAATTAATCTCGCACAAGAACGATAAACAATAAACAATTTACAAACAAAAACAATAACGCACTGTGATCTTAATGAAGCACATCAAACTGCACGCAATGGGTAAGAACATATCAGAGAGCTGAAGTCATGAAGGAATTTTACATCCTTATTTTGTACAAGCCTTTACAGCACGTCACGCTTCATAGGGAAACTGAACATGCCCTTGATGGCCTGTGTTTAGGCCCAGCTTATTATCGTATTCTCTTGATTATAGGACACACTTTTTTCCTAAGTTGGTGGTGCATTGTATAAAATGCTTGGGTTTTGTATGTGTGACAGAGAGACGAGATGTAGATAGATTTATTTGCACCAGGTACAAGCTTGGGGTGCGTCTCGCTTTTGTGAGCGTGTTATAATGAAGAAAATACGGTAAATCAGAGTTTTTGCACATTTCCAAGTGTAGTTTTACGAGAAAAGGCCTGCTGAGCATGAGCTCCATAGACCACCAGAAAGAAAATCTTGGAGGGTAATTGTTGTTTTGCTGGGATGCACAGCTCATAAGAAATAATTTCTGTCATCCTGTGGTTGTGTTTATAATGAGAGCGCATCACAAGAAATCACAGCTGCGCACCGCATTGTTTTTGTTTTGAAATGACAGGGACGTTGCACAAATGACGTTTGCCAGCGTAACCTTTGCCGATGCATAAATGCGCCATTCAAGGTCATTAGCGCAATAATGTCCCTAAGCCTATGCAGGAGAGTCTGCTGGCTCATGGCATTTTGGAGGAGGATTTTTTTTATCACTGAATTTCTCTATGATCTGTTAAAAAAACAAACGAGCAACCCAAAGACACATTTGCGTATAATTTTTCTGTGAAATATTGAACACTTTTGATCAATCAATTTTGATAGAAATGTACTGTTTACTTTTAGGATGAAATCAGCTGAAACTCCTCTTATCTAGGGGGGGGTGGTGCTATTGCCACATTTATCTGAACAACCACTTCCAGTTTACTCCACTTATCTGTTAATTTGTGTATGTATGTTTAACACGTAGGCTTTCGCGACCAATATTATTCATAATAAACGTTTTTGGGTTAGATTGCGTTATTTATAAATGTGTCGTAACCCTGGCAAATTGCCCGATGATGCTGGATGTAATTGGCAGCGAAACGTCGTACTCAAAAATTGTAAATGTTGTGGTTTCACTCTTCAACACACCGGTGGGCTAAAGTAGTGAACTATTTGTCTTTTTTCAACGTGACACTTTTTTACTGATTGGCCGTGTCGGGATAGTGGAGGGTTACTGACACATTTATAAATAACGCCATCTAACCCAAAAACGTTTACAGTATTATGAATTGTGTATGTATGTTGAATATCTTTCGCACCGTACGTAGCCAACCATGCTAATTGGAGGTGCGGGGATAAGAGACTGAGGGCGAATTACAGAAGAATCGATGCATCGACAATACGTATCTTCTGCGGACCAATTCTGGGTAGGGATAATACCAAGAGGGAATGAATTGGAAGGTGTCTATGATAAATTTCACCGCACATCTCTAAAAGAGCGCTCCAAAAACTACGCCACGATGTAGCCGGGGATCAAGGGGCTTTTACCCTGCGACAGGGAATGCATGGAGTGAGGGTGCGAGGATATATCCTAGGTCACCTTGCCGTCTGCGTTCTCAATCTCTGCCGTTCCTCCTCCTTGTGCTCAATCCACGCTTTCGCTCGTTTTCTCGTCTCGCCCCCCTTCACTGGATTCAAACTTCCCCTCCACATTAAGCAGTCACCTTCGCTCACTAGTTTCTGCCCCTCATTAAAAACTCGCCTATTTTCCCTAGCTCGCCCCACGACCACTTAATCCCCCCCCCCTCGTAACCGCCACCGTTACTTATCCCTCATCATATTCTCATTATATGGCTGTCACTCAGTCCTCACTCATTCTGTCCATTCATCATCATTTACTATCAATTTCGCTTTCACCGAATTCACGCATCACAGATTTGCCCCCATCGCTTCCTCTCATCAATTTTTATTGACCTCATCTCTACCGTTACATTCACATGTACCATTGTTAATTACTTTTGAAGCGCCTTGGTTAAGGCGCTTTATACATTTCTTTAAGGTAAGATAAGATATTGAGTCTCTGGATTCTCATCGTGATTGATGGTGTCCTGTATTGTGTAGCTATGCAGTGCAATGACAACAAGACAGCTTGTGAATGCAAATGTGTCACGGGAAGCGTGGTTTGCCATATTTCCGCTCAGACGTCCCTCGTCTGCATCTGTTTGTCATGTAATGCATCATCATGTAAACCGGTCACTCAAGGTTATGACGCTGTTAAAAGTTCCGAGTTCATATCCTGCTCGGAGTTTGCTCAGCCTGACAAGGTCAACGACACCAGTGCCGCGTTGTCGGAATTCCCCACTTTCACAGACCGACTCCCACCATGGGTTTGTGACGTTTTACATAAAACTGACTCATGGCCTCCAACATAAGACGGGCACTGCCCTATTGCTCATTTGAGGAGTAGGGGGGGGGGGGCATTGTGACTTCAATTGTGTTTTGGGTTGTTCCTTCCTTAAACTATCTTTGGGTTGTTCCTGTCTTTAAATAACAAGGGAAATGTGTTACCAAAGAGCTTATAAATGGGTGTCATTTATCATCCAAATGATTGCTCATTTTCATCAGATTATGTTTTGTAAAGACGTGGACAAAAGCTTCATTGGTGGCAATGGGGATCCGCCGGATTTTTTATGATAGATTTTATGAAAATGAGCAATTGTCAAGAGAGATTATATTTGGCGTTAATGAATGAAATCAAATACACCAGCTGTTAAGAACTATGCACATGTAAATTAATACAATTTATGGTTATTTTTAAATGAGTCAGTGAGCTAAACAACACATATTTTCCTTTGTAGCTAATTGGGATAAAATGTAAACAACACATTGTTTTCTCTGTGGCTAATATGGATAGAATGTAAACATGGAAATGTTAGTTTTACATCAAGCTTTGCATAAACTCTGAGCAATGCGCCAACTATTCCACTAAGATATCCATTTTTTTTTTTACCAAAGCAAGTTGACTCATCCCTCGACTGATTTTATCATTGGGTGTATTTAAATTTTTTAAACACTACACAAATTTCGATTTAAAGCTTTTGTAACTGCAGGGATTCACATTCTTGGTTCTTTCGGTAAAGTCACGTAGAAGGGAAATAATAAAATAATAAAAATAAAACATTCAATTCTCACGACGTTTCGATTGCAACACAAGCAATCATCATCAGGTGAAGAACAGAGCTGTCGGAAATACAGCATCCTAGGGATGCTGAAAGAACCAAGAATACTACACAAATTGTCACCTACCTCCACTGGGCAGACAGCTTGGAAAAATGTGTGAGTACCCACACTTTAACCCCCCACACGCCACCAGTGGGTCGACAAGCTGCGGTATTCCCATTTATACTGCTGGGTGGACAAAATTACCCATTTTTTTCGTACAATTTAGGGACATGCCGTAAATGAAAAGGCGTTTGTTGTTAAGGTGAGTAAACCAGATAGGGCTTGATGCTAATTTACTTATGAATTACCATCAAACCTATCCGGTTTACGAAGCTTGACTGTCATCCACTTACGAATGCCCAAGGGAGACACTCGGCCCCGATGTGGAACTGCGCCTTCACAGAGGAACGCCAAGAGGCAGGCGGAGCGGCGCTATCGGGAGGCGCTGCGGGAAACCGGGATGGATGAGGAGTTTGTGCGCGAGCTTGGAAGCGGGGCGGCCGGCGGGGAGACGGCCGGGCCCGCTGATGAAGACGGTAACGACGACGATGATGACGATGGTGTCGATGGTGCGAGCGACACGGGGATGACGGGCGGCGTTCCGGACTCTGGCGGCCAAGGAGACTCCCAGGCCTCGCGCCCTCTGCAGAACAGCAGGTGCCGCTCGCTCACAGTGGGGGCCACACGGGGGCTTCAGTAAACACGGGAAGAAGAACCATCCATACGCTTTTTAACATGCGTTTGCCGCCTGAAGGTGCTGTATGTAATTGACATTGGTGGCGTTACATTTTAAGCCCCACAATAAGGCGATGTCGTCCACAACGCTATGGTCCTGGCAAGCTGCATTAAATTTTCCAGCCTTGCACATCGATGTCACGTGGTATGTGAGCATGTTCTGGATTTGCCCTGGGACAATTCGGCCTTAAATAATGAGCTTCCAGCAGGGTGTAATAATCAGCAATTTTGAGATGTGGGCAGTCGAGTATGGTTCCGGCCCCTCATGCGTCATACTTTCATAGGTGTTCCCTCACAGCACTTTCCCTGTGGTCTACAAGTTTAAATTATATTATTTTCGATTTGAAGCTTTCGTGACTGCAGGAATCCATACTCTTTGGTTCTTTCGGTAAAGTCACGTAGGTGTAAAATAAAATAAATCGCGACGTTTCGGGCACAACACAAGCGTCCGTCATCAGGTGGGAAAGCATGGAATCATTAAATTAAGCTTTCCCACCTGATGACGGACGCTTGTGTTGCGCCCGAAACGGCGTGATTTATTTTATTTTCTACCTACGTGACTTTACCGAAAGAACCAAAGAGTATAATATCGTCGTTTGTGTGTGTGTGTACATGTGCATGTGTATGTACTTGTATGTGTGTGCGTGCACCTCCGCATCTCAGAGACGACAAGAGTGAAGATGTGAAAGAGAGCCAAGAGAGCGATGAGGGTGACTTCGAAGATCATCGGGAAGAGGGTGACAAAGAGGATGCGAGCGAAGGTGAGGACGATGCGGATGAGCGTCAGTGATGCCGGACGATGTGACGAAGGCCCATCCCGTGCACTTTACACTCAGGAAGTGAAAGTCTTTAATATCATCGACAACGGAATCACCGACAATGGAATGAGCATGCCTAGACCTTTAAAAGCCAGAGGCACGTTCACCAATGTAACTTTACATATAAAGTGGTTACTGGCAAAACACGATGTAATTGCCAATGTAGGACGCGCCTGCAAACAAAAAGAGTCTTTCGACTTAGTGTGGCTTGCCTAGAGTAAATATGTAATGAATAATTATTGCATCGATCATAGGGAATTGCTTGTCGAGGTTTCACTGCACGTAGTTCTAAGAATATCCACAAGATGGCACTCCAACACCACTCAACGAATGCACGAGGACTAACAGTAGACGTCTCAACACATCAACAAGCTAGCTCCACGCTTTGCAGAGCAATTTGTTGGACAGCAACATTTGTTTAAACAAACGCTCGACTTTCAGCGACTCATCAGGCTTGTTCTGTTTGTTTATGAACAGAGGTCTATGTACTTTATTATTTCAATGCTCCCCCCGCCCTGTTCATGCTGTACAGGGCGGTCCAGATATCTTGTGCCTCCCAATTCATTAACCCCTAACATTTGTTTTTACTTTGCATATTAATTTGTGTTTTACATCAACCTTACTTAAAAAATATATATATTAGGTTTTCGAGAATTAAGGGTCAGAAGACATCTGGACTACCTTGTCGACTGGTCTGCCATTTGTTGGTTTGGTATTGGCACCAGATTTTTTTTGTGATATGCTTGTACTTACCTTCGGTGAGGGGTGTAAAGATGCATCGGAAGGCATCACGGTGGTGAGATGTTACCTACCTCGCCTGGTGTACAGGGGGTCGTGGGTTCGATTTGGAGTTTGCACGGTTGCGTGGATTTTTATCCGAGTCCTCTGATTTTTCCCTCTACATTTATAAACACTCGGTTAGAATATTTGGTTGCTGCTATACATTTCCACGTGATAAGCCACTTCGTTTAGCTATCATTTGTGACTTGGTTACTTCTGAAAAAGAGATATTTAGCTCAGTGGCGCCTGGCCTGCTAAAATAGATTCATCACCTCATGCCGATTTGTAAGGCTCAAATCACACGTGTAAGAATCAACATGTTTAGATTTATACAAATTATTTGCAAACGGTATGCTTCGTTAGCGAAACTGTGATTAGTGCGTAACATTTGCATTTGTTTTGCATACATGTTAGATAACAGATTCTTACACGTGCAATGTTTATACGTATATCATCGGTGTAAGTATTTCAATTAAATGATGAATGATTGTCTGTTGCTGGTTCAGTATTGGCACTAGGTGTTGAATGAAATGTGCCGATAACCAATAACTCAAGGTATAATAATGCATGTCATGCAATCCTGTATTTGCAAAGTAATGCAATCTGATTTCTTGATTACCTTTATTAATACTGTCTTAAAATTACTATGTTACGATTAAACTAAGTTCAAGAATCACGGCGGTGTAATGATTGTAGGCTGTAACCTATATGCATCTGTTGCAGTTGTCCTCACATTAACTCAGGCTTCTGGCCCAGCAATGTCTTATGTATAGTTGTATTTGAATATTTTGAATATATATTTTTTTTATCAAAGTAATTGAGGTGGTCGATTAGCTAAGAAGTCAAGAGTGCTGCATTAGCACCTCGGAGATCTGGACGTCTATGAAAAAGAGCTTCACAGCTCACCGGATTCCTCCACTCAATAAATATTCTGATTAAACTGGGTCATTAAGTGCAGTGAGTCGATGGCCTCAGTCTGGTTACCGAAGGCTACGTGAAAAAAAACATTATGTAAAATTTGGTTCTGCACTTAATTTGGCAAAATTTCAGCCTCTGAGAATACAAATGTTAGTTTGACCGGCATGCGACGAACCTCACTCTCATATGCAGAGCGGGATAATGCTGCCCTCTATTCTGTGTGGACCAGAGGTCACTTGAAGGAATCTCAGAGGTAACTCTGTGATATCCACTTCCATCGGACGTTCTCCAAGATGAAGGTTTGCACCGCGCTGCAAGAGACTCGAAATGATTCTCGGCCTTGTGAAGTGACGCCAAATTAGATATTTTTTCCAACATGAACGTAATCATCGAATACAAGTTATGGCAATCTGTTTGGCAATACTTTCATTTGCCGACTGAAATTGGATTACAGGTACCATCTTTTTTTTGTAATATAAGAGTAATGCGTTAGTTGTACAGTAAAGCCTTGGATTGCGAGTAACGTGGTCTGGGAGTGTTTTGCAAGACGAGTATTTTTTTAAAATAAATATTTATTTGATAAACGAGTGAGGTCTTGCAATACGAGTAGTACGTGTATACGCTTTGTCTGCCGAGCGTCACGTGACCACAACTGATATACGAGTGCTTTGGATTACAAACACGTTTCCGGAACGAATTATGCTCGCAATCCAAGGTTTCACTGTATTAGTATTCCCCAGGACTGTGGTTACATGTGAGAACGTGGTCTAACCTGGTGTATGCTGTATTTTGACACCAGCCACCTATCTTTATTTTTTAGTAATCTAATGACAAGTGCTGCGTTAGTTGTATTATTATTCCCCAGGAATGTGGCTACATGTGAGAACGTGGTCTAACATGGTGTATTCTGTACTTCTGACACCAGCCACCTCGGCTGTTTTACAGCCTTAAGTTACTTATCTCACCCCACCTGACGTGCGTGACTCACGAGAAGGTTGCTGCAGCAGATACATGTGCATAAACATTGCTCGTTCTGATTTTGAGCATGGTTCCATTTTTTTTAATGAAAGGGCAACACCGGGAGAGAAAAAAAAAAAACTTGGTTCAGGAAGGAATAATTTTCGATTTAAAGCTTTCGTGACTGCAGGGATTCATATTCTGGGATCTTTCGGTAAAGTCACGCAGAAGGGAAATAATAAAATAATAAAAATAAAACATAATAAAATTCTCACGACGTCTCGGCCACAACACAAGCAGCCGTCCTCAGGTGAAGAACAGAGCTGTCGGATAATGTCACACAATACCAGGATTTATCTCAAAACCGTTGTCATTTTAATTGTTAAAAAAGTACCGACTTGGCAATGGGGTTATTGGAAACATATGTAATTGTGTGTGAATAATAGAATGACATTACTTAAATCAAGTTACACGTATATTTATTCATATGGCTCGCAGCTTGCGGTCAAGCTGTCTCTTTTCAGATTATTGAGATTATCTTTTGAACAGTTTCATGGAAAGTGTGGTCTCTTCGTGATTCATCAATGCTCTTCATGCCTTTAAAAGAATAAGGAATATCAATCCTCATGTAATCCAATGAAATTTGAGTTTCAAATGTCCCAGAATAATGGCTGAGTGGTACCTATTTTATACTTCACAGCTCTTTACAATCCACTGCTGGATGAAACCCTCCCAGCAACTATGTCAATCCTGGGGGTAGTTAGACCATATTCAGTGCAAGTTGGTGAAGGTCGGGGGGGGGGTGGCGGGCGATGGTTTAGAGAGGGGACAGGACTGGTTCAGATATCACTTTGCCACTGACGTTAGCCGTGACGGGTAATAGAAGTCAGGTTGTCTCATTCATAATGTAGTGTGCTTACCACTGCGACACCGCTGTACCCCCACACAATGCTAATATTGACTAATTTTTTAAATACACGTGACAACAATGAGGCACATGAGTATGCTTTATTTATAAACGGATACATTTAGTCTATGCCAGGATCAAAGGTGTTCTCACCTTATTCGTGTGCTTGAATTCTGTATCATGCAATATTGTTGTATAACCGTGTGCACGTGAATGTATACATGTTTAAGGAGTGCCACCTGCTCAAGTCGAGTACACACACGTGTACTGAGATAACATTGTACAAAGTAATACAAATAAAAAAACATCTGGATGTTGTGTTCTGCGTAAGTGTTATTATCTCGAGATTTACCTCTGGGCACTTTAGAACCAGAAAATTCCTGCCTCAAAGTGAATTTACCCAACTAGTTCTATACTGCTTGATTTTTTTTTCCAGCCTTGCCCACCTTCGTTGGTGAAATGGACATACAGTAGTTGTATATGTGCGGAGAGGAGCTGGCTATATTGCAGTGGTTTTTTCACTACGCTACAATCCCAGACATTCGAGAAAGAGTATAACAATTGGGCAGCCTACCGAATACATCGGTAGGGTTGCCAATTATGCAACATGAGTGACGGAAATGGTATCTACACCTGTTCAGGCCTTTTTAAAAGTCAACATTCCATAAAATATCACCAAATGAGTTGTACACAGTGCTGACCACACCTCTTTATGCCTTTTGGGTGTTTTTATTCATACGGCTGATGCAGAGCAACGTCTACAATTTCACATTCAGGTGGTCAAGCCAGATAACCGCATCCAGAGCAGCAGAGTATTTCGCTGTGATGTCACCTTCATATTTGTGGACTGGGCATTGCGTCGTTATATGTTGTACGGTCTGTTCTGGATGACCACAGTCGCACACTCGGAAGAGTTTTAAATTTTCCATTTGTGCATCAGGTATCTATACCTGTCTTGGTTTGTGCAGCTGATGCAGTTTAGGGTAGACCATGAGCTTCATGGAAGATCAAACCCAGGCATCTTCTGCGTTGGGTCTTTTCACATTTGGATAGGCAGCACTAAAAACACCTGCCTGGCAATCTCCGAGACTAAATGAGATATCTGCCGATGTGTGAGAGAGCAACATGCGGCACTCACTACAATAAGACCTTTGTTGGAAAATTCTAAATCAGTAAAGTTATGGTCAAAAATGGTCATGTATTGAAGAATTAACAGCTCGTAATAATCAACCAAGTGACAGCAGACCCGCCCAAATGTGATCGGAATCTGTTCAACACTTCAGTTGACACTAGTGGTCGTTCTAAATTTCCTCTTCATCCGCACTATTGAAATTATAAATTCAAACGAGTCCCATGATTGCCAACAGATGGCGCACTAACCAGCACTCAGAATCCCTTACTGTGCATCATAACATACAGCGGCGCTGCAGAGATCATTAAAATTAGACAATACAAGTTCATATAACTGTTCATCTACACATCTCATAAACCGTCACGACCATGTGAGTGCATAATTTTGGCAGAATTGGTTCAAGACAAACTCAACAGAACAGGGTGTCATGTTTCAATGTATTTATCAACTTCAAAGATAAAAGCACTTTCATGTACCTATTGTCCTGACATAAATCATATTATTTTAGTTCGATTTACTTGGTACATTATAATAACGTAATCCTTTGTCACGATTAATCATCTGCAGACTAGGGATCATTAGGGGTTGTCTGAGAATACTTCACCTAGCTGATCAACAGTCCGGGTTAGTGAAATGGATGACAAGCGCCCGGTTCATATATCACTCGAAACTGTTAGCCGTGGCCAGGAATCGAACTCATGTGGCCGGTTTCATAGAGGAATGCGCGAACCACTGGGTCACCTCTGCAACCCTGCATCGGACTCACTGTGTGCACGTTTCACCACTCCACACAACCTCAGGGGTGCACCTAGCCTGGCACGGCGGTGGCATGACCACGTCCACGTGTTTGACACGTGCCCAGACTGAACCACGTGGTTCGCTCCGGGGGGTGGGGTGGGTGACGTAATCGACATAAGCGGAATATTTTATTTGTTTAAACCCACAATTAATACAAGTCGTATATTTTTTTCTAACGACTGCCGTATAGAGTAAATAAATAAGCGCGTTATCTAACTTTAAACTATAAACTTAAAAAAAAATAACACTCGGTAAAGTCCGGCAATTTCCGGCCGAGCAATGTTGATCGGGATTTGAAATTCATAACGCGTATTGGCGGGCTTCAATGTTGTGAGATAGGTCGGGTCTCTCATAGCGTTCATAAAACCCAGTCTTCTTGGGTACGGCTGCTGATGCAGATCAACAGCTACAATGTTGCGTGCAGCTGGTCTAGCGGAGAGTTAATATCGCTGCTGGATGACCCTCAGTCGCAACGCTACTTACTCCTGGAGAGTTTTTCATTCACAATTTGTGCATCACCCGCAGCTGTCGTGTGTGTGCAGTAGATGCGGATTAGGTGGTGGACCATGAGCTTCGTGGAAGATAAAAAAAATCAGTCATCTGCCGTTTGTGAGTTGAATTCCATGAGGTAGGTGAGATGTTAACTACCTCGCCTGGCATACATGTCTCTCTCTCCGTGGTCGCGTGGATCTTTTCCTCTTCGCATTTATAATCAACAATCACTGCGTTTAGAGAGGATCGATCTGACCGCTATGAATGTCCCCACGCGATGAAAAAGCCACCACGCTGAGCGGGTCACATTTGCGACAGCGAGGTCGCTTCTGAAAAAGAGCTGCAACTAAGCAGCGGTGGCCTTTATCTCAGCGAACAAAAACAACAAAGTTTAGTCCTGAAGCTTCCAATGTTTTCGTGTGAGAGATATGTCCCGTGGCTGCCTTTAATAGAATTCATCGCACATTAAACACCCCCCTGCTCGGGTTCGCTATTGGACTAACCCAGCCCCGCCCCCGCCTTGCCAACACAATGACGTCACGGCACGGGTTCAACCAATGCGTCCGCGGAGGGGGGTGGTGTTTGATTGGTTTACGCGCGGCGAGCGGAGGGAGCCAATCAGCGACCGCCGTTCCGCCAACGAATCGAAGCCACAACCTCTCGAATTCATCGCATATTACACACCCCCCGCTCAGGTTCGCTATTGGACTAATCCAGCCCCGCCCCCGCCTTGCCAACGCAATGACGTCACGGCGCGGGTTCAACCAATGCGTCCGCGGGGGGGGGGGGCGGTGTTTGATTGGTTTACGCGCGTCGAGCGGAGGGAGCCAATCAGCGACCGCCGTTCGACAACGCGCGAGAGGCCGCCACCTCTCCGCCATCTTGCGTTGACCAACAAAACCTCCCGCGCCTTTCCCGCCCGTCCCATTCAACGTTAAACTTCCGCGCGCGACGTCCACGCGACGTTCACCCAACGTCCCCCGTCCGCTCTAAAACTCCTTAACCACGGGTGGGTGGGTGGGGGCGTCTTTGTTTTGAACCCCCCCCCCCCCATACAAAGACAAAGTTTCACCCGTATAGCCTTAACAGACTGTAGGGGCAAGTGCTGTGAGCGAGTAGCACCTGTGATGGTCCGAATGGTGCATAAAGGTGGTGGGTGGAAGGCACCACGCCCGATTGCCTTTGTCTCCCCCGGTGGCGCTGTTCACACACCGCACCGGGAACTTATTTGAGGCTGAGTCGACCTAAGGGAGTCCCAGGAGCGATTAAGATAATCGTCTCTGGTGTTGGCCGTGAGCGGGAATCGAACTCGGATGGTCGGGTTCATAGCGCAGCGTAGCGCTAATCGCTGCGCTACCGCTCCCCACAGTGACAAAGTGACACACACACCGCTCCCCCACCACACACCACTAACCCACCACACACACCACTCCCCCACCAAACACACCGCTCCGCCACCACTCACCCACCACACATACCACTCCCCCACCAAACACCCCGCTCCCCCACCACACACCACACCACCACACATACCACACACACCACTCCCCCACCACACGCACCACTCCCTCACTCACCCACCACACACACCACTCCCTCACTCACCCACCACACACACCACTCCCCCACCACACCACCACGCACCCACCACACACACCACTCCCCCACAAAACCACACACCACCACCACCACTCACACACCACTCCCCCACTACACGCACCACTCCCTCACTCACCCACCACACACCACACCACCACTCACACACCACACGCCGCACTCCCTCACTCACCCACTACACACACCACTCACACACCACACACCACTCCCTCCCTCACCCACCACACACACCACTCACCCACCACACGCACCACTCCCTCACTCACCCACCACACACCACACCACCACTCACACACCACACACATCCCTGACCAAGATGGCCGTCGCGCCTTCCAGACTCCGCCCCCTCCTCCTCCACCACCGCAGCAGCAGCAGCCGCCGTTGCCGTGGCGACGCGGCGAGCCCAGTCCGAACTGGTTGGAGCCGGTTCCTCCACACTGGGGGCCGAGCCGCGTTGGAGAAGTGGCGCCGCGCGTGTTGCCGCCTCCTCCTCCTTGCGTGAGGGGAGAGAGAGACAGACAGACAGACGCTGGCTTACACGAGGGAAGACGAGGAGGAGGCTCTCTCCTCACCAGCAGAGCAGAGCTCACCACCGCTCACGGGGTCGACAACAACAACAACCCAGGGGTTAACAAAAAGCACCAAGAGACACGGGGGTCAGAGAGACCCGGGCAGGTGCTGTTTGGATGCACTCCCCACGCGTGTAACCTGCACATTTTTTGTTTTATTCTCTCGCTCTTCTCACACTCTATCGCACTCTCATCGGAGTTGTTAACGCTCTTTTGTATTTCGTCGTTAAGTGGGGTGTTTTTTTTTGGCGCGAAGTCCGTGGTTGGTTTTGTTTGTTGAGCTGCGATTTTTGTGTTGAATTTGCTCTTAGTTTTCACGTGGTGAGTACAGTGGATTCTTTCAGTCGCTGTTTTGGCAATGGTTTGTTGAGCTTTGGTGCAAGTGCTGTGCATCGTCGTCATACTAAGCACATCTTTATAAACGTCATGTTCTACGCAATAGGCTGCACGCCTTGTGTGGGGGTTGTTTGACCATACTTCACCGCGCTGGTACATGCGGTTGGTGAAGGTGGGGGAAGCATGGTCACGTCATCCAGCAGTGGATCGATAATAGGGCTATGCACTTACTATAATACACGAGGCAGTGTAGTGGATTTATCTTTTTAAACCTTAATTCACCATGCTGGGTGGTGGAGGACTGACTGATATCACTCACCGTGGCAGGGAATCGAACTTGGACTTATATGAATTTAGTTAAAGTTTGCGAACCACTGAGGCTTTCATTCCCAATCATTAATGTAATACATGTGTTGAGCATCATGAACGTCTTATACTACTTCAACAACAACCACACTATACGAGTCGTGTATTGCACGGAAGAACTTTTTTCACAAACTTACGCATCCAACAGAAATATTTACCACGATTGAAATCTCATACACTGCATAGATGTACACGCAAAATAATATGCCTTGTGTAATATATTTGCATTAATATCACGCGTAAAACCTACACGTGATATGACAATGCAGCTTGGATAGTGGCTTTAATGTATGGATGTTCGGAGAGTTTAATGCAAAACCACATTTTTCACATTGCAATTTCGTCACGGTAACTTTTACGTAATGTGAGTTCCACTAATAATCCTGACGCTAAACTGTAAGTGAAAACATTAAGCATCTCACACTCCAAAAACAAGTTCTACACCACACATCCTAAACGATCACAGGACACATCGAATCGTACAAGGCACAATGATTACACTATTACATCGTACACATCAAATGTTGCACATGACGACGCATGAAACCACAACTGGGCCATGCTCATTTGATTTGTTCAATGACAGTGACACGTGTGGAGCACGTGTGCAGTACAGTACACTGCAAGCATCGCGTGTTCACAATCATCGATTGTGCAGCAGTTCAATGCATAATAGTTGTGTGCTGTAGTTGAGTGCACAGGTAAGACGTGTGTACACGTGTAATCAGTTGAGGTTTTTTTTTGTTCTAACCCGCAAACGTGTTCTTGAGTGATGCACAGTCTGGTGTTGTGATGTGCGATTTATACAATATAGGTTTGTGATGTATCCCGAGTGCGTGTAATTTATGCTTGCATGCGTGTGATGTATGTGTTGTGCTTGATTTGTTTGTATGTAAGAGTGCGTGCGATTATGTACGTTGCATGTTTAGAATGCGTGGTGTGTAACGTGGTGTTTCATGTTGCGTGCTATGTGTTTTGCGTGCGTGTGTATGTGGTATGTGATTTGTGCGTGTATGGAAAGTTTGTGGATGTGTTGTGGGTGCGTTGTGTTGAATGGTATGTGAGTGTTTTATAGTTCTTTAGTTGGTGTTAAGCGTGTGGTGCTTGTGTTGTGTTTGTATGTATGAGTATATTCAATTATTTTTATGTGTTGTATGTTTATAATGTGGGCTATGTGTGTATGATGTGTTTATATCCGTGTATGGAATGTGTCTGGAGTGTGTGTACAGTAGTTCGTCATGTGGTACGTGTGTAATGTTTGTGTGTTGTGCTTGATTTGATTGTGGTATGTGTGATGTGAGTGGGAAGTGGAATGTGTTAGAAATTAGTAAATGTGTGTGATGTCTTTGTGCACCTGTGTATTTACATGCTTTCTGTGTGTGTATACTGTACGTGTAAATATCACCACTGGGGAGACAAAGGCGGCCAGGCGTGGTGCTGGGCACCCACCCCCTCGTGTGCCGTGCCTGCCTTAATAGCTGCTACTCGCTAACAGCACTTGCCCCAACAGTCTGTTAAGGCTAAACGCGGGAACTTTGTACGTGTAAAACGTGCTGTAATTTGCACGTGTTACAGTATTTGAATTCATTTCTGTGTCACGTGCACAGAGGGAGGGGACATGGGGGGGTGGGGCGGTTGGACCAATGCGCTGCTAGCTCCAGTTTCACCGTTCCTCATTCGTTCTTAAATCTTCAAGCTGGATCTTTGAGCATAACTTTAAACCCAAACTAAGAATGTTTTTGTTCTCTCTTAGACAACTAGCAGTAACGATTCACCGTCACCGCGTTAGAGAATGGCACACGGAAGGAGATGGCGATAACAACTTGTGAAAGCTCTTCAAGTGACCACTAATCCACATTCAGTGGCACACTTTCTCATAGGCTCTGTGAAAGAGAGGTATTTAGCAGTCGAACCATATTTAACGTTTTAATGCTCATAGTTGGAATTTAGCAACGTTAAGCAAAAGCCCCAAAATTATATGCGATGGGGAGTTTTGTGTTTGCAATTTTTGGTGACTAGAATTAGGCCATCTTATTCACTCCCCTTGAGAACCTGGTTTGGTGTAAGACATGGCCAGGAATCAAACTCAGGTTGCCAGTTTCATAGCCCGATGCTTTAACCACTGTGCCACATTTCCGCATTGAAACCTGAGTTTTAACCCAGATTTTCAGCGGTGTCAGCGCAGTCAATCGGCCACGTCTGGGGATACCCCCCCCCCCCCATCTTAACTATAAAATACAGATAATGGGAAGAACGTGGATGAGATAAGTTGTGTGGATATATTCAAGGGCTCTGATTAATCGCAGTTGTGGATAATAGAGCTGTGGATTAGAGGCGTTTCACTCAGTCGCATTTAAGGTAATGTGATACGTTAACCTAAATCCGTAAATCCTTTTCCACGGTCCAATTTTTCCTCCTGGAAGTTTCCCGAATTATATGGTGGCATCACATCTGTCAACAGAAAGTCAAGAGACACGATGTGTACATCGTGAGCTACAGCTTGCTGATGCCACACGATCTGGCAGATATTGTTACGGTTTTATTAGCGTTGTTGTTTCGTACATAGATTCTACTTGTTAATATGTTTAAGGACATTAGCAGTAACTGCGCATATGTATTACACCTTAATTGAGGGGGGAGGAATCGGTGTTGTGATTCCTAGCCATGGATTATGAGTGGTGAATGATATCTGAACTGATCCTCTTCACCAGCATGGTGAGATATGGGCAGATAACCCCCATGGTTGATATTGGATTGACATTTTACAAATGGTTTGATATTGCACAAAGCGCCAGGCCTAATCACCTTTTTAGCATTCAATGCTTTTACACAGACGAAGGTACCTGTAGGATTCGTATGGTAAAATGTAACTAAGAAAACCAGTATAAAATATGGTATAGCTGTGGGAATCCACCTAGTTTCCTCGTAAGACTATAACAAAAACCCCATTAAAGAGATAATTTGAATTAAGTTAGACTGACGCCTTATTTTTTTATTTAAATGTTTTCACTTCATCTTTACACCCCCGTGTGAGCCCCATTGAGACATGCCTGGTATCTCTCACAGGGTTACCTGAGGTCACGATAGTGTTGGTGTCTGCCGCAATGTGTTATTGTCCATCAAGATGTGTAGTGCGATTGGTGTTTTTTTGGAAAAGAGATCCCTTTGACCTGCATCTGGAGCATGATCAGCGATAACCAATGTTGATTATTTCATCAGCTTGTTTTGAATTGTGAATTACTTAATAATACACTTCCAATCAGCACTAAGCCTGTAGCTGTAATGCCGGTTAAATTTATTTTTTATTTCTCTCAATTTCAATAGATTAATTAGTCTTGGCTAGTAATAATTAGTGCTGCTTGGTAGCGTATTATTAAGGAACTAACATTTTGCCGGTCCAACGACGGGTGTATTTCAGTAAATCTGAAACTTGCAAGCGGAAAGCAGACCGCGACATGATATTCATTGCATCAATTCGCGTGCAATTTGTCAGGCCGCGGTGACATCCCTTGTTCATCATGACGTCCTTTTTACTTCTATGTCTCAATAGCGTTACGGAGATGGCGTCACGTGAGGGTTCTGCCTTTGTAGTTAGGGTCGTAAGTTTACGCTGAGGAGTGCGGAGGAGGTGCCTCGCCCCCCCCCCCCCCCCATGTGGGGGGTGGGTGTCCATTTGGAAGACGTCGCCTGTTCATGATTATTCATGTAGGGGGCTGTTCGATGTGGTGTGACGTCACGCGCGAGACACACAGACATTCTTCCAATTGTATTCCTTGTCAAGGCATCCTATACTGATTCACTGTGATTAACCCATCTGTTCCAGATTAGCATAATCAATTGTTATAAGATTACAATAACTCCCCCACTGCCCACAACACCTGAAAGGCTCACAGTGATGACGTAATCTTTCTCTATTTAAGACCGGAAGCAGGAAGCTCTCATCGAGCAACTTTGGGCAAAATCGCACAATGATTCTGGATGTAATTACCAGCGAAACGTCATACTCAAATTGTCAATGTTGCGGGTTTACGCTCCAACACACTAGTGGGCTGAATTAGTTACTAATTGGCACATTTTGTTTACATGACAAACCTTACTAATTGGCTGTGTCGGGTGGTGGTGGGTTAACGACACATTTATGCCATCCAACCCATTAAAACGTTATTATGCACAGTGGGATATTGAGGCAGTAGCAGAAATTCCATATTCTCATAGTGGGGGCAGTCTTGCCAAATGACGACCACTCTTGACTTTGCACGGAGTGTTTTTAGGAGCACTGTAGGGAACAGTTTTTACCTCACAAGGGGGCTTTATGGTTTAATATTAACAAAGTGGTACTCATTAAATTCAATGTGATGATGCCCTATAGGTGAGCAATAATTTGTTCCAGCCAGTCTGAAGGAA